AAAATCTGTTTGCAGCTGCCTTGCACGCGCAAAGTACATCGGAAGAGGTTCGCCGTCGACCATCTTAAAACGGCTGAATTCTTGACGTAGAGACACCTTGCGGGCGTTGTTGTTGGCAGCAAACATAGATCCCAAGGCGTCCCAGGCCTTCTTCGCGTTGGCAGCACCGGTAACCATCGGCAAATGATGATCCTTGACGTTCTTGATGAGCAGATTGATGACCTTCCGTGACTGTCGAATTTGCTCCTCGTTGCACGGCTCGGCGAGCAGGGATTGCTCAAGCCCAAGCTCCATGCACATCGCGCTGAACCGAATTTGCCAGGTATTGTTAGCGTTCGGCAGGACTTGAGGAGATTCCTGATAGGAATACCGATCGTTGTGAGATAAACTAATAGGCGCAGTCACCGCCCTAAATACCGGCGCTAGCGGAAAACACGTACATTCCGCGATCTCACTGCGCCGTCCAGACGGTGCCCTAATGTCTATCACTTAGCTACCGGATATGCATCGGTAGCCCCATAAGGTTCTGGGGTAAGTCTTCCCCATTAGTCAGGCGCAGACCCGGGGTCAAATCCCCTGGTCGACAACCACACGAGTTGGGAGAGGACCGTTTCCTCAACAAACTCCTCCTCCAGCTCACCATTCAGAAACGCAGTAGACACATCGAGTCGGTCTGGTCTGGGTTCACACTACTGCAATTAGCGGTTTAAGGTCCTGGGTTCGATTCCTGGGGAGACCCTCGAATTAGTCGGGAGCGCGAGATTATGGCTAGCTGCTGAGATGTGGAGTTGAGGTCACAGTTGATGGACCAGATTCGCACGCTGGATTGGTGGCGATTGCCGAACCCTCCGTCTCTTCGGGTGTTCGGGTGAATGGATGAGGAGGGGTCCCTGAAGGCTGGATCCGCCGCCTTGGACTTACAGTTCGTATGGCGAAGTACAGTGTGGTAGTGGTGGATGGTGCTATAAGGTGATAAATGATCTAGAACTGACAATGTGATAAAGCGGCCCAGAAGCCTCCCACTCTGTAACATTACATTACATTACATCGAGTTGATGTACCGTCATGTTCCGGGCTGCGGCAACTGCTAATAAAGCACGCAATGACGAACCACGAGAGGTAGGGGCAAACAACTCCCCATAATCAATCCCCTCACGTTGCTCGAAACCCTTGGCAACTAAACGCGCCTTAAAACGCTCCACGCTGCCATCATCGCTGTACACCTTGTATACCCAACGACACGGCAACAAACGAGTACCAGGAGGTGGCTTCTTCAGCTCCCAAGTACTATTAGCCATCTGGGCGGCGATCTCCTCGTCCATCGCACGCCGCCAGTCGTCTGCATGTGGACTTGCAATTGCTTCCTCAAACGAATTAGGCTCAGGAATACCAGCAGAGAAAGCAGCGTTAACGCGACCAGTGACAGTGCGACCAGGTTCGTTTCGCCACCATTCGCCAGGGCGTTTACGCTCTCTAACTGGGTACCTAGTTCCCGCCATTTCCACATCAGGCTGATTGATTCCTTGCCCATTCGCACTGCTGGAAGGTCCAGCCCCAGCCGGCGCCCCCTCGCCACCCAAATGCGGCGATCCCTCGCCGACGGTGCTACCTGGTGTCCCTTCGCCAGCCCTAGGCAGCGATCCCTCACCAGATAAACTAGTGCGAAACTCCTCCTCCTCGTCGGCATCGGACTCATAATCGGAGTCCCCGGCATTACACCGCCGGCCGACATTAGACTCGTCAAAACGAACGTTGGAAACTACGGCAATAATGCCGTCCTCGTATAGTACACGATACTGTCCACCGTTCCCGTATCCGACAAGTATTCCACGCTTGCTCACCGGGTCGAACTTGTCGCGCTTGACGTCGGGTACGTGGACGTAGGCAACGCATCCAAAGACTCGCAGGTGACTGACGTTCGGATGAACGTTAAAGAAAGCTTCGTACGGAGTGACGGTTGACCCAGCAGTTGGCGACACATTCCTAAGATAGTTCGCTGTCGCTAACGCCTCCGCCCATAATGATTTAGGCAGTCCAGACTCAACTAGCATAGCCCTAGTCTTGTCCAAAAGAGTGCGATTTAAACGTTCTGCAGCTCCGTTCTGCTCAGGGGTGTAGCCTACCGTAGTTCCGTGTAGAATACCCCTGGAAGCGAAATAGGCCTTCGTGCGAGTATTAACGAACTCCCCGCCACGATCTGTACGCACCTCCTTAACCTGCCTGCCAGTAGCGCGCTCCAGTTCCGCTATCATTACCACCATCTTCTGGTAGACCTCCTCCTTGGTCGCTGTAAACGCAACAGCTGAAAGACCAGTATGGTCGTCAAGCAGGGTTGTCACGTAACGCGAACCACTAGGCGAAGGTTCAGGCATAGGCCCACACACATCCATGTGAATGAGCGCGAGAGGCTGCGCTGCCTTATGCCCAGATAACGGAAAAGGACCACGTGTATGTTTAGCAAGGACGCAAGTCTCACACACACACGTGCTGGCTGATTGTATGCTGTGTCGGTCAACATCAAATCCAGCTACCATATTATGACGCAGCAACGTCTCAAGGTTGCTGTATCCCAAGTGGCCATACCTTCGGTGCCAAAGTGCTGCACGTTCAGCTCCGATACCCACGGCAGCACACACTGCATCACCACCAGAAGGTATCCTGTTGTCTTCACGCTGCGTCCTCTTCAGAGCTCCAGTACCTCCACTGCTGTAGCATACGGGATACAAGTCCCCA